CCGTCTAAGCGCTGGTACGGGAGCTGCATACCGTCCAAGAAGTCCTCGATGATGTTGAGCATGTCAAGGAACTGGCTGAAGATGAGTACGCGATGACCGCGTTCCTGAAGTTTCGGAAGTAGGGTCTCGAGAAGAGATAGCTTGGCGGAAGCCTCGACGAGATTGCGATGAGAGACTGCGGCAACTTCGCTTCGCTCTTCAATCTCTCTGCTATAGACGAATGGATGGCAAAGACACTTGCGTAGCTGCATAAGGATATTGCTCAAGTTGGCACGTTCCTGCTGCTTCAGCTGCTTATCGGAGGTGAAGAGAGCTTTGAGCAACTCTGGGCTCTTGGACAGAATAGACTTGTAAACTTGCTTCTGGAGATGGCTCATGGAGATGGGTAGGATGATCTGACCCAGAGGCGGGAGGAAAGTCAGGACCTTGGCCTTGGTACGTCGCAGAATGAAGGGCCGGATCTTGTCATGAAGTTCTCGGATATTGTCCGCTGTCATCTCAGCGTACTCTTCCTCAAGCGCAGCAGCATCGATAGTGTCGTCGAGAAAGTGCAGCAAGTTGAAGAGCTCACGGGCGTTGTTTTGCAGCGGTGTACCAGTCAACAGAAGTCGGAACGGCGCGCGGACTGCTGTGAGAGCTGTATACAACTGAGACTTGTCGTTCTTCAAGCGCTGGCCTTCGTCAACGACGAGACCTGCCCAGCTGACACCCCTGAAGAACCTCCTGCAGTTGTCGTCGGCGGCTGCGTCGTAGGAGGTTACGACGATGTGGCATCGCAAGTCTTTCGTCTTCTCGGGATACATCTCATACTGATAGGCCATCTCACGAGCCTTGGCGGACCCGAAGTAAGCCACCACGCGAAGAGACGGCGCCCATTGCTTGATCTCTCGTCGCCAATTGGCACATGTCGAGTTGGGGACTACAATCAGGAAGGGGAAGCAGTTGTGCTCTTGGATGAGGGTCGCCATAAAGGCAATGACTTGGATCGTCTTTCCGAGACCCATCTCGTCAGCGAGAATGGCGTTCTTCTGATCGTACCACTTGTAGTAAAGCCAATTGAGACCCTCCAACTGATACTTCATCAGCTCACCACCAACAAGGTTATCAGGCTGTTTCTCTCGTTCAAGTTTGGCGAATGATGTGCTGCGAGCCTTTTCAATACGTCCTTTGAGGGGCCCTTGCTTGGGAATCTTAACGTAGCGACCGGCCACCCAGTCGTTGTAAGCAGTGACAAAGTCGAGCCACCTGTCGCCGTCTTCCGGGGTTGGTACGCTCTCCCATACTGTATCCTCGTAGCCGAGACCCTTGTACTTGATGAGCGCCTTGTCGACTTCCTTGATACGAGCTTTGTCAATCTCTTCACTACGGACTTCGACATAGCTCGTGTACTTGATGTCGAGGACGATATCGATACGGAGGTACTCTTCGGGGATGGCGTCTTCGGTCCGCATCTTCGGTCCGTCCTCGCGCTTAAAGAAGGCCTTGCGCTGGACTGCAGCCGTGACACCCCAAGTCCAGGCTCCGGAGTGCCAGGCGGATCGAAAGTAGGACTCATTCTCCCACTTGATCAAGTACTGCTTATCGTCTTCGCAAACGAGTTCACAGGGTGTACCCGGACGGTATGTCTCAACATCCGATGGGCGCCAAGCGATGATACCGCCTACCTTCTGATCGAAAGTCTCGTCGCACTCCTTGCAGAGCCATTTGCCAGAGTACTCGCGGAAACGCTCATCTGCCAACTCCTCGTCGTCGCGATTGACGTCCATAGCGTACTGCGACATGGGTGGTAGATGATGGTAATGCCAGGCACGAGAGCACTTGGTGCAGCGGAACATGACGTTGTTGGGATCGTTGACAAGCTCAGAAGGTACGTCGACGACTGGATCATGGCCGTCGTTTTCCTCGCGCTCCTTCATCTCCTGCTGTGTGGTTTTGCGACGTCTAAAGGGTCGACAGGACGGACCCGAGATAGCGCAATCCTGACATCTGGATAGATCGGGAGCAGTTGCGTCTTTCTTCTTGTAGAAGTTGATGCACCTCTTGCATTGTAGAACGAACTCCTCGTCCCCAATCTTGGTGACTAGATGATCGCGAGTGGAGCGGTTGCCCAAGCAGTTCTTGTGGTAAGCCAGCGAGCAACCTTGGCAGTAGACCAGAGGCGCAACGCTGGGGCCATCGAAGCAGACTTCGCAACCCTCGGCGTGTCGTGCACGGAAAGGGTCACTTCGAGGTAGATTCGGAAACACTTCTCGGACGACTGAAACCTTCTGTGCAACCACTTTGGGAGCCGAGTCAGATCGATAGACATCGTTGATACCCGCTTCTTGCATGTTATTTGTAGCACGTGTTGCCCGATCAGATTGTCGGACGCCCGCTCGAGGTATCTTCTCAGGCTTTGCAGCACGCAGAGGGCGTCCCTTACGTTTGCGACCTGGTAGTAGATCTGAACGGAGTATGTCTGAGGCGCTGGACTCGTCTGTGGTTCCATCCTCCGAGTCTTCGTCTTCATCATCGTTGTCGTTGGCGTTTGTTCGAGTCGGCTGTCTTGTTGAACGTCGTGTGGGTTGTTGTACGCCTTTGCGACGCCGACCCCTCCGCTTCTTGCCGGCGTCTCCGGAGTCTTCTTCACTTGTAGAGAGCGCAATGAGATCGCTGTTCTCTGAGCGACCTCTTGCTGGACGTCCTCGACGGGCTGCGCGCCTCAAGCCTTGTGAGCGGCCATTGCGACGACCTGGTGAATCGGAGGCAAGCTCGTCTTGATCGTCGTCTTCGGAAGAGGAGATGGGGATGGTTGAGATATCTACGAAACCGTCATGGTCGGCTTTGCCTGTGCGATTACGAAGTCTCATATCGTCGTCGCTACCGGTCGCGTTGGGGTCGTCGTCGGGTTGGAAGGTTTGTAGTGCCTCTGGGCCACCGTTGAGCTCGAGGAGCTCTTCGAAGGTAATCTATAGACACTTAGTAAGATACTTCGAATAGGTAGTTGTAGAGAAGAAGGAATCCAAGCAGAGGTGGTGCTTATATAGCGGGACCAACTGCACCCGGCGCGAAGGCTGCCTTTACCGGTGATAGTAAGGGAACTCGAGACATCGAAGATATAATCACTCACCTGTTTGACGCGGTCACCTGACAGCCTGACCTCGTAAACCATCTCGCCCTTCCTCCCAGAGAACTCGCGCAGGATCTTCTCCACCTCATCTTGAGGTTCATAGTACCTATACTCCGCCTTCTTGACTTTCGCGGAAGGTATTCGAACGCATACCGCCCGGCGCTTGCGGGGCGGGGTATCGACATGCATAGTGAATTCTTCGTCCATGTCGTCCTGCACTGACATGGTAGCGGGGGAGCTGGACGCTTCCCTCTCAGGCGCGGGGCGGGGAGTACTCAGGGCGGCGTTTGCCTTGGGCCCTGGTGGCGGCTTCTTCTTAAACGCAGCCATAAGTGCCGCGCCATCTTCGTCGCTACTCATTTTGGCAGTTTGCGATGCGTTTGTCTGGTGTGGTACGTGACGGCGGGACGGCTCTTTTGGCAAGGAATCTATGTCGACAGCATTTAATGGGCTCGACTCGGTCGAGGGGTGCGGAAACGAATTAGGACAAGGTTCGATATCCTTGGCAGGTTGAATGTACAGCTTTGAGATGCGGGATGAGTGGGGAATGGGGATGCAGGCGCGCTGCTGTACCGTGGTTTCGTCGCGTCTCGGTGAACGATGATAGCGCCCAAACGCCAGACGCGTGACTTCGCGTCCCGCGCTTATGATCTTAGTGCGAACGCATGGCTTGGCAATCAGGAACTTTTTGTCGCATCGCTTTTGCGCTGGTTACAATTTAAGTCTCGGAACCCACCACGACTGTTTAATTGACCTTGTTATGGTTTATTCCTGCCTATCTGGTAGCACGCTACTGCGATCACACCAATTGGTTACCCCACGCACCTTCCTCCGCTACAAATCCATTACTGCCGCCATCGAGAGGGGCAGGCAGGGTGGACCAGACCGACCATTCAGACCGCGGACACGAAACGACCGCAATGATGACAGAGACGAACCGGTGAAGAATCGCCGTGAGGCACGGTTCGAGAAATTTGGCCCTCCTCGTGACGATCCAGAACCAAGATTTGGTGATCGCTCGACTGTGACACCTCGCAGTAGCAGGTTCGGACGTATACCCCGCGATGACGATGCGCCGAGTCGGTTCAAGGAAGAGCGACTGAGCGGCTTCGGAAGAGATCGATCGAGTGGCTTTGGAAGAGAACGATCAAGTGATCTGGGAAGAGAACGACAAGGCGGGTTTCAACGAGAGCGACAAAGCAGTTTTGGAAAAGATGCACGTGGAACGGGAGTCGAGCAACGCTCGCACAGTCCCAGCGAGGCACAAAAAGAATATGAGCGATTGTATGGCGAGAGAAAACGATCTCCACACAGGCTTGATCCGGAAGGGAGACGGAACGGGGACATACACCCACCAGGAACTTTCCGACGCTATGAGGATGGCTATAGGCCCCGGCCACGTATGACAAATGATCGCAGCGACTCACGGAAACACAGGACAAATGATCGCAACGACTCACGGAAACAGAGACCTGAGAGAAACTGGAGGGACGACAGGGCGCCTTCATACACGCCCCGCACTCGCGATGTAGCAGACGAAGGTGTCACTGAAGCACGATCCTCCCAAAGGGGCGATGACGCGACATCATACAGTCCGCGAGCTCGGGATGAAAACGATCGTTCTTTCGAACCGCGATTCTCTCACAGACCGGATTCGAAGGGCGCCAGAAGAGAACGCCATGGCCGAGAGTCTTCTGATCCCTACTCCGCGACGAGAAGTAGCACGGAGAGTCAAAAACCTTCCGTGCGAGGACCAGAGTCACTCCCTTACACGACTGCCGCTTCAGAGTTCGTATACGGATATGGGAGCGTGGTAGCTGCGATCAAGGCGAACCGGCGTAAATTCTACAACCTCTATGTACACTCACGAGGTGCGAGTAGAGAGGGTCTCATGTCTCGAATCAGATCGCACAAGCTTTTCCCAATCACACAAGAAGTTGGAGATGAGTACATGCGCGCTCTGGACAAAGCAAGTAGCGGTCGACCACACAACGGGGTGATTCTCGAGGCATCGCCTCTGCCTGTTCCTCCAATTACCGAGCTGAAGACGGCCTCTCTCGAGGATGAGAGCTTCAGGGTCGCACTTGATAGCCAAAGCGCTGAAGACTTGCTCGTCAATGGCAAGCAAGAGCTATACTCATACAAATCTGGAGGGTGGAGACACCCACTGATCCTCTACGTGGATGGAGTAGTGAGTACAACAATACTGTCTATGAGATGATAGCTAACAATTACAGGTCGACGAAGGCAATCTTGGGGCTATTGCACGCTCAGCCTATGTCCTGGGTGCGGACGCCATCATCACGCCGACCCACCATACTGCAAACTGGAGCCACATCGCGGTCAAGGCCTCGGCCGGTGCCGCTGAAGCTATCCCGCTTTTCAAGGTCGGTGACCCGACCGACTTCCTAAAGAAGAGCGCAGGTGCTGGGTGGTGCATATACGCGAGCGACGCCATTCCGCCTGCGCCACCAAGTCTCTCTTCAGCCGACGACGCACCCGAGCCTGGGTCTAACAAGGTAGTGTACACGATTACGCAGGGTAGGAAACGTCTTCCCGCAGACCACAGCCCAGTCGCCGAGCACCCCACAATCCTCATGATGGGTGCTGAGGGCACGGGACTAAAGACCAGTCTGGTCAACCTGGCGAGATACAAGGTCGGAATCCCGCATGGCCGCGAGGCCAACGAAGTCGGAGTCGACAGTCTGAATGTCAGTGTTGCAGCGTCGATACTCTGCTACGAGATGTTGCAGAAGCCGAGGACACAGCCTGAGCGCAACCCCGAGAACGTTGTCTTCTAGACCGCTACCCATTCGAGGACTATGTCCTCTGTACTATATGTATACTTTGATAAAACTCCATTGTAAGCTTGCAGGTTGGACATGCCAGGCTTAGATGGGCAGGTCGTCCAATAGCCGTCAACGACGTGCGTCGTTATCAATTCGCTCTCTCCTCCGTGCGAGGCATGCGCCGTTGCAGCACTAATCACCCAATGACAGATGCAGGCCAATATGATAGCTGCATGATGCTGCAGTGCGGAGTGCATCCACTAGGTCCTTGCCGACTACCTAGCTCAGCGCCTCTTATCACCGAGGCCTCCCTAGCCTAGTAGCAATAGCTTCATAGCGACATCAATTGTGAGGCTTAAAGCGGTGAGCCAAATTTCAAATGGCCATTGCTGTACTCGCGTCCAGCTGGAACCGCGATTTACCATTCCAATATCGCATAGGCCCCACGTGTTCGCTACAGTTCGCATACCGGTGGGCTGACGCTGATCGGTGGTGTGGCTGGTGTGCGTGACCAGATCCTTATCAGTGTATGCAACTGCAAATCCATCATCCATCCAAAAATGCCTCGTACCTGTGACACGCAAAGATTCGGAGTCGGAGGATACTGAGAAGTCCACAAGACTTGACAAAAGTTTAAGTTTCAAGGAAGTAACAGAGCCTAGGATCATGCCATGTCCATCACGACATGATCGGCGATCGGAGCATGGCGCAAAGCTCAACATGGGATTTGACACCGCTTTTCCGAAATGCGATGCAATAATTGCGCCATCCGAAGCGATGAATCCTCCGCGCTCGCTTGGTGGAGGAAACATGTCGTTTGATGTATGTACACAAAATAGCAATGCGAGAATCGTGACACTGGTCATACCCACAACGCGCTATGCGCTATCAGTAGGTGGTGTCGAGAGAAAAGTCCCTAGCGGTGAAGTGAAGCTAGGGGCGCGTGGGGAAAGGCGTCCAAGCGCCCCTGTCGTCATGGAGCACACGCCTCGCCATACCACGATCCTCCCCCTCTTAGCGCGATTCCAGACGGGAGAGCAGCGTTTTTCACACCCACCCATCAGCCAACTCCCACCCATATCATGGTGTCGCTCTGACCCCGTGTAGCCCCGGCTGAATCCGTCCTCCCCGCACCTGCGCCTGCTCTCAGTCACCTGGCGACTGTTTATCTATTCGCTCGGTCGCGCCTGCAACCCACCCTTTGTACTCGAACCGCCGCCTAGAGTTAGAGCCTCTCCGTCCTGCACGCACGCTGCAACTGCACGCCTCACACCTAATCGCGCATCCCGCCGTATCATAAACCCCGCAACTCCTCCCCTTTGCGCCACCGTCTCGATTCGACACGAGACTCGGGGCGAAACTTCTCACCACCCGCTGAGACAGTAATTACACATCCACCATGACGCGAAGAATTGTATATGGCGTGGGCCTCATCCTCACACTGGCCTGTAAGAGACCATGATATTCCGCTACAAAGGAAACTGAGACTGACCGCGCAGGCACCATCATGACCATCGCCAGTATCTCGATGCCGCGATGGGTCAGCTACAGCCCCGACGGCAAGCGCGAATACTCCTACGGCCTCCACAGTCGCTGCTCCGCCGTCACGGGCACCTGTGTCCCCTTCCCCAAGATGAGCGACTGCGCAAAGGACCCGTCCTTCTGCAACATGTGGCGGACAGTCGGTTTCCTGACCTCGTTCGGCGTCGTCGTGGAGCTATGCGCCCTCGTCTCTTTCATCGTCATCATCTCCGGTGGAGTCCAGCGCCGGGCTGCAGGCTGGCAGGTAGCCGTTGGCGTACTGTCCTTCAGCGCCATCGTCCAGTGCGCCGGCATGGCCATAGTGGTACGTGTCTTTCCCCGCGTTTTCCCTGCTTCCTGCAGGGTCCCATCCCCATCGCAGAAGCAAAGCATGCTAACAGTCACACGCCCAGGCCTTCCTCTTCGACCACGACGAGCGCTTCTGGTCCGGCTGGCACCTCGACCTCTCCTGGACCCTCTGCACCGCCAGCTGGACCATTCTCTTCCTCACCTCCGTCGCCATCGCCGTATCCGCCTTCTACCTCCCCGTCGAAGGCGACTACGAGCTCATCCCAGAAGAATACTACGGTCCGCCAGACGATCGGTAAGGGCACACATACATTCCAACATACACTGCACATCCGCTGTGCAAAAAGAATCGTTTTAATTTGGGTGTGTAGGCTTCTTTCGCGCATCTCGGCTTGGGACAACGGCTTCAAAGGCCCCGACTCGGGCATGCAGTATAGCTACCAGCGCGATCAGGATTCCATGAGCGATGTTGTTAGTATTGCGGCGAGTAGCATTGCGCCTAGTGATCGCATGCGGAGGGGGAGCAGTATTGCGCCTAGTAATCGGAGGGACAGTGATGCGAGGAGATAGGTGGATCACGAACGACGGTTTATATGCATAATGTGGTGGGACTAGGATGGGGGAGTCGGAGGCATATCTTTATCACTTTTGGCGACAGTTTGTCTGGTCTGTGTTGCGCTTTTTTGCGAGCTTTGTCTTGTTTTGCTCAAGTGTTTGCTTTTTTTTTGGTCTACGATACCCTACTGCCATCCACCGGTGGTTGGGCACATATCTTCTCAGCTAGCCTGGATATAAAATGTTAGAACCTGCAATTGATTCGGCCTTGCCCTCTCCTCGTTTCGAGGTCGCCCTGAGATGTCCGGTTCCAGGTTGTGTGCCAGCGAGTTGCAGTCACTCATTATTACTGAAACACCGACAGCATTCGAAGAAGGGCAAAAAGGCGAGGAGCGTCGTCTTGCTGTAAGCCTTTAGCAAACGCGTCCAGACGTTACGCAGATGACTTACAGAGACTTTATCTATAAGAGTGGCGGCGATATTCTCACATGCCCAACTAGGGTCAACGTAAATCTTCCATTGAACAAAATACTCCCTAAGAAAAGTGTGAACTTGTCCGTCATCAGCAAGTTTATTATTGCTGTGTACAAGGTGATCACCCCAGTTGATACAGGCATACTTCAAGTACGGGGGGCAAGGGATGTCTTTTGCCTCATCCTCGATCACTTCCGCTCTTAGCTCTTTAGCTCTCCATATATCATTCTGGAACGAGTGTACCAAGAGAGCAAGACATCGTGATGCTAACAAACCATGGATGTGTGCTCCATCCACCCAGAAATCTGGATCGGTGCATCGCCGTGCGTCGAGCAGGAAGTCGCGCAATGAAGGATGATGAAGGCGAAGTGGACGTGATCGATCAGCTGGTACGTCAAGGATAGCATGCAAGTCCTCGATGACCGACCTGATGAGCTCTTCGGCAATGTCTAATAGCATTCCTAAAGACTGCGCAGTCAAAGGGTACTTCAGCACGATCAGGCTTCCAAGAATATATCTTAGCATCCTGCAATGCTCTTCCTTCTCCTCATCTTCATACTCTGGGCGGATCGAGTGTCGCAGAACAGTGATGTAAATATTGTTGAGATGCTTTTCAGGCTCGGCTTGCGTATCATTGTCGCTTTTCAAGATCAATTCTAATCTTCGCGCCGCGAAACGCCTTCCTTGCTGGATAAATCGATGAGCCGTTGCAGCCCATATGAACAGGCCACTAGCTTTCTGTGCCATTTCCGCGACCTTTGCTTGACCGGGCCAACCGGTAGGTAAGCCTTGTTCCTGAACGCAGATTGCGAGGTTGTATTTTAGGAAGAGTTCTATATCGGCATCGACGATTGAACGCGCTATGTGGTGTAACACGTAGCGGTGGTGTGAAGTATCTGGCACTTTGTCAAAGCCGTTGCGGATTGCTACCTCAGGCCTGCTCGTCAGAAATATACGCAGGTTGACTCGTCCCAGTGCTTGCACTCTAGCCAAGAGCTCCACAACTGTTCGGACATTTGCCTCATCTTCGCATTCGTCCAGTGCGTCGATAACAAGAACGAGGGAAGGGCTGGCATCCGAATGTTCCATCTCAGACAATGGGCCGAGGACGAGGAGCTGCCATTGGTCGCGCAATGAGAGGTGCGAGACGTCGGAGCGCTCTGCAACCACTCCAACTATAAGCTGGCGCATCCCTGGAACGTTGCGCGCAAGTTGGATTGCAACGGTTGTTGCGAACTTCCTTGCATGACTGACGTCACTTCCACCTTTGTCGAAGAAGAAGCTAGCCGCTAGGCGTTTTTGCTCATAGTATCTACGAGCTACGGTCCGGGCAATCGTCGACTTTCCTGTACCGGCCAGGCCATTTAGCCAGTAGACACCTCGCTTGTCTTGTACGTCGATCCAATAGCATATCTCGTTCAAAAGAGCAATGCGCGTATCCGGAAAGCAGGTTGGCTCATGCTGCTTCGTATACGCGTTGAACAGCGCGTCCGCGGCGTACGGTAACTTCACGCGCTCTGGGTCTTGCGTTTGACTGAGAAACTATCAGCGATCGTGACACCGCTATCAGGTTTACCGGTGTCGCGTACTTCACATGGTTATTCCCATGGACATGGTACTCCCCCGCTTGGATGCCGATTTTCACACACTCGTTGTTGAAGTTGGTAGGTTGTGCAGTTGCGCGTGTATCCATTACCGTGCGCAGCAAGGTCAAACGAAGGTGCAGCACAAGAGAAAGAGCAAGGTAGTGCTACGAGGTGGAGGGAGAGAATGTCAGGCTGAAAACGCATTGTGCGCGTGACAGAGCTCAGGCAGTTTGCCAGGTGTCCTGCGAGGCAGACGTCTAGGCGAATCGAGGTTCATGCAGTTACAGGGCAATGGCAGCGGTTAAGCGCCTCGCCTTGAAGTATGCAAGGTAAATTCAAGCCTGCCCAAATTATTCTCTTGGAAAAACTCTTCCTTCTTACAGCTTTCGTTCTTATCTTACCGCCAGCAGCGCGTCTTGTTGCCTCTAACCATGGAAGGGGCCGGTCTCGCTGTCGGCGTTATCGCCCTAGGAAGCACATTCAACAACGCTGTCGATTGCTTCGAATACGTCCGGCTTGGTCGCGCTTTCGGCACCAACTTCCAAACCAGTCTGCTAAAGTTAGAGAATGAGAGACTGCGACTCTCGCGTTGGGGAAAGTCTGTTGGGCTGAGTGGCGACTTCAGCAACGCCCACAGCATCAGGCTGGCGACAGGACCGCCAGATGAAGTGGCCATAGCCACCAGAGTGCTGACGCAGATAGTCGGCCTCTTCGCAAACGCAGAGGATATATCCAACAAATACAAGAGCCATACAGAAGAAGCCGATTGGAACCTCGAAGCTCTTGACCCAGCCACAGACATGGAGGCTGTGGGCCAATCGCTGCATGCGAAGATGCGCACTCTCTCTATCAGACGTCAGAACACAACACCTTTACGACAGAGGATGCAGTGGGCGTTGTATGAAGAGAGACAATTCAACGCGTTGATCCAAGATATCGTAAACCTTGTCAACAATCTCGTGGAACTGTTTCCTTCGACGCATCAAGAACAGCGCCGGCTGTGCAGGACGGAAGTGTCTGAGATCGATTCCAAAGACGCTCTACTTGCTTTGAAGGACATAGCAGCGTTACAAGACAAGGAACTTAAGCAAGCCATCGTCGAGGCCCTGCAGTCAGAGGTCAGTTGCTGTGTGTCGGTGTAGATGCAGAGCTAACGTTGACACCCCCAGCAGAACCAGAAGATGCCTACATTCAACAACCATAATTCCAAAGTTGGTATGCAAACGGGTGTGGCCAACAACTCTGGTAGTCAGGTTTTCAATTTCTAGTCGGGTGTCCCACGGTTGAGGATATGCAAGACGCACTTTGCTTCCAGGCTCAGTAATTCACGTCGTTAAATCTTCTTCGCTTTCTGACATCGTCGGTCGTGACGATGTTAAAGTAGAACAATACCTTTCGTCTCCTCCTCATTCCGCATAATCTCCCCATCCATATGGTCGAGCAGAAAGCAGTCTCCTATGAAATGATGAGCATTCGCATTGTTGCGCTCTCCCTCTGCCTTCCGCAATACAACCGGCACCCGCATGCCCATCAAAGCGCAAACCTCATCCCCAGGCTTTAACCCTGGATTAGCCAACCCCATATTGCCCTTTTCGGTGATGTAAAAGCAGCGATCTTCCGTAGCCATTATGATCGGCGCCAGGTACGTTGCATGGAATGGGAACACGTCAGGCTCCAGATCCAGAAACTCTTGCCAGTCTTCCAGACTGGGCAGATCTTCATCTGTACTGCGGCGCCATGAGGATCCTTCCCTCATCGAGTGCAGCGTTGCGCATATTGCACGCTGAAAGGGCTTCTGGATAACCGCTTCGTCGGTGCAGGACAGTGCCTCCACGGCCAATTTGTGCCACTGTCTCATGTTGGCCATCATCGCCCTGGGACCAGATTTGAAAGTATGAGATGCGCCCACATGACGTACGATATCGGCTTTCCGCGCTTTGACATGCAACTCCCATTTGTCGGTTGAAATGAATGTGCCGAGTGAACCTGCACTGCATTGATACATTCCAGCAAGACTTATCCTATGGCGCTCATACATGGGGTCGATGGGCATATTGGCAAGATCGCGAACCCAAGATGGTCTGCCGTCGTTATTCGGCCCAAACCCGTTACCTTGCAGAATAGCTGAAACGTCGACAGTGTGATCTAGCATCAATCGGTATACATCCGTCCAGAACTCCGCCAAGGATTCCGTGTAGTCGGGTTTGTAGTTTTCGAACATCCGCGGTGGTGCTAGCGCCAAGATGGAAAAGACTTTGTCGCGGAGGTCATGACACTGTCGCTTTGAGAAGGAGAGCAGAGTTTCTTGAAATGGCATGACACCCTCGATAGCGGATGTATGACCAGGTATAGTTGCAATGCTGCCATGGTAATACTCTCGGAACCAATTGATCGTCTCGTGCTCGTACATAAAAGCATCAATGACCTTGATCTTGAGCCAGTGTTTCTTCGTTTCTGGAGTATTGGGCAGGCAGCAGTTTTTGACGCGCGTGTCTTGGTTTCGGATCGCTTGTGCGAAGCTGTTCCAGGTCGTATGGTAGGTCCCATACCAGAGGATGGTGGATTTGGGTAGAATGACTTCTTGGACAGTCCAAGCTCGCTGCCACCATGGGCTGCTTACCATCAGATCGAAGGCGAGCCGATGGTTGGTGAACTCTTCGCTGGGTTTTGCATCTTGCTCTTCGAGGATGCCGGGGAGAGTGTGCCAGTGCTTTCCTTCTGCCATATGCTCGATCCAGGCGAAAGGGGCTGTCCCTGGTGGTAGAGAATGTGATATTGTACCCAGCCAGATGTGCACCACGGAACATCCGGAGTATATGTCCCCCATCATGACCACCTGTTGCGATTTCTCGTTAAGATCGGCTTGGTTTATGCATATGGCATCTGCCCAGAGTGTGAGAGTCTCGTTGGAGTCTCTGATGTGACAGAGGAATTTGAAGAGGTTCGTTGTAATTTGTACTTCCTGGTCGTCTACTTCGATCGGTACCGTCTTGTTGGGATCGCCCCATACATAAGAGACGCATGCAAAAGTGCCAGCCGCACTTGCGAGATCCTTCACGCTCAGTGTGGCGGTTATGCGCTCGGTGCTAGACGGGTGGAGATGTAGTAACCGAATTTCTCGTCGACTGGCGTTGAGCGGTCTTCCTTGATACTTGAACAAATTGTGCGTGTCCATCTTTGATAATGATCAATTCTATATTGAACGAGGTGTAGGATGTGGATTATCGGAAAGCGATAGGCCTATGTCGCTATCTGTCCACTTCATCTCTCCAGCTTTAAGTGACCTGAAGACGTTCGAAGTAACCGTAGGCTCTTTCTCTTTTGGGAAGTTGGTATGACTGCATTTGGTGTCCCTGCACGTGATACCGTGGGGCAAGGGATGAATAAGCATTCTGTTGGTCGTGCTTGTGTTTTTCGATACGCGGGACCCATAACTGCCGAGGTAGATTCGAGGAGAAGGTGCAAAGTCGACGCAAACCGTTAGACTGGATGCTTTGCAGCATTTCAGTGATGCAGCTGCGATTGCGAAACTCATGGCGGAGCGACTGGTCGTGGGCATCATTCAGGGCGCGTTTTGCTGAGGCCGCTAAGGCTGTTGTGCCCAAGTCTTGAGTCCAGCCAAATTCGAAGGAAGGCGGGATGTTAGGCGAGGTCTTGGCATGCAGGCGCCTTGCCGACGACGAAAGGTACACAGCCTCCACTGATCTCACACGATTCCACGAATGACGGTAAAATCGCGCTCCACGGTGCAAGGCTGACGAGTTGGGTTGCATGTCGCGATCAAGCTGAAACACGTGCTGTGTTTGAGTACCTAGTCTGCATCCTGCACTTCGTCCGGAAGGATTTGGGGTTGCTTCGCCTCCTTATCTTCCTAGGCCTGCAGCTCTGTATTGACTACATCATACGACTCCGCGGACCCGGCGATATACCACGTCACACGCATCTGACTGCATCTCATTGGCTGCAGTCAAATGTAAGTGTAAGGCGAACGATCTGATACCGCTGTGATGAGCGATGGGGCTATTACCACGCCTTAACGGAGGGGCTCACAATGGGAGAAGAAACGCGTTTTGATGTTTGACCTCGGGGCTTTCAATAAGACAAGGGAATTCCGCCTCCAATCTAGACGCGACGAACACGGCGATTGAGCTCCATTGAGGTACAACGTTTGCTTCTGCCGTGTTGCATCCTATGCAAAGTCTTACCCCATTAAAAGAGACCCGGTACAGGTACCCGCGACAGCCGTCGAATGACCTCAACTGAAGAGCTCAAGACCATCAAGAAGTAGCGTCATGCGAAAGCCGTTCAGATTGAGGGATTACTTGACGTGCATCACAGATGCACTCTTCCCAAGGGTTTGGAAAGCTCTCTGCATACCGCGTAAACGCCGGTCAGGCGTACCTCTACAACGTGTAGCTTGCGTAACCGACGTGGCTGCGCCGTCCATCAGCGGCCAAGGCGAGATCAAACACCGTTCTTGTGAGGCATGGCAGGAAATGAAACTACACCCAGATACCTAGGTATCTGTACAATCATACCTGCCGTGATATGGCGTTGAAGCGGTGCGCTGCTGTCATGTTGAGCTTAGTGTAGGCCTACACTAGAATCTCTCGCTCGACTTCCAACGGTATTCGCCGATTATTCAGCAATCTTACCAGCGGATTAGAAGATTGACCAGGTTCAGTACCGCAGCACGGCGCGACACAGGCGAAGTCTGGCCGAAATCACCGTCTTGGGTACTGTACTCTGGCTGCAACGGCCCTACGCAGACGATCCCGTCAGACTTTTCAGGAAGGAAATGCGTATAATCTTATCAAACGTTACTCCTTCTAGGCATGCACATGCCTGTGCTCCTACCAAGTTAGTCTGCTCATGTACCTGTACTAAGGTTCCGACGTTACCGAATCGTTCGATCGAAACATCCCGAGCAACGGTCGGATTGCGCATAGGAAGTTTTCTGTTCCTGCGACAGTATGTCTTTCTGTAAATTTCCAGACCGTAAGCTTTGCGTTTTTAATTTGGCGTCGTTAGGCGCCCCGAAATAGCGGATTGTAGGCGTGGCGCGACTGCTGTTAGCTCGGCTATTCTGGGCAAACGAGCGAAAGATCAAACGCTATACGAGCCTCGCATCAATTTCTTCGTTTTCGGACGGTTATCCAAGGCCTCCAAGGGCGCATCCAAGGAGGAAATATTTGCGCATTTCACCGGAGCTACTCTGCTTGTGCAGTCTTGGTTAGGTCAGCGTTCGGCCCGTTATGTTCACGATACTCGACGGGCAAGTCCCTAGACGTACAGGGCTGAGCTGGTCTTACTGCGCCGACAAGGGGGCGGGGGCGATCATCTCCGCTGCATGCTTAGCAGCTAATCAAACTATCGCATTGTCGCCAAGCTTTGCTTGTCAAGCCTGTCAGCGTTCGCAAGGGTCTGGACAGCGCAAGATATGCCGGGGTGTCCGCGACTCATGGTAGGCTGCCTACCTTTCGACGGGTTTGCCCCCTCGCATAATATGCTGTCCAACCGGATGCGGCTGGGCTTACGGGACCGGCGTAGAAAGGGATGAGGTTGAAATACGGCGGCTTCGCTGCCTGCCGGTAAGCTTGAGTTCAGTCGTTCTTTTGCTTCAGCACCATGGCGTCCATGTCTGGGTCGAAGCCCAACTGGATGAAGCCTTCCAGCTCTTGGAATATCTTTGCAAGCCCTCGATGGATCCGGATTGCGCTGGCGACATTTGTGGTCGTGTCGACATTTGTTTTTCTCGCTGTCGAAACGCGCGCATTCGATCACATTTCTATCCCGGAGTTTAAAAGTCATAAGAGCGCCGCCAAACCAGAAGAAAAGAAGGAGCCAATACCGCAACCACCGCCCTACGTCAACGCCAACATTACTCTCGACAGAGAAGAGAGACTAGCATACGTCACGTTTCTCTCCGGAACCGTTGATGCGGGCGATGATCTGGAGGAGGACAAGTACTTCCAAGCTATCCGGATTCTCGTCTGGCAGCTCGTACACAAAGAGGAGACTCGCACGAAGCACGATGTCGTCGTCATGGTCACACCCAGCGTCTCTCAGGCCCGGCGCGACCGCCTAGCGAAGGATGGTGCCATCGTCCACGCTGTCGAATTCCTGCACACCGAAAACGACAGCTGGGTCCACGCAGAGCTGCACCGATGGGACGATGTTATGACGAAGCTACGCGTCTGGGAAATGACACAGTATGACCGCATCCTAGTGATGGATGGCGACTCGATGCTGCTCAAGAACCTCGACGGCGTATTCGACGACCCTGGCGCCCAGCTCCTTGCCACCAAGCCCACGAACGAAACGAACCTACCCTCCACCTACCTCCTCGCATCCAACTCCGAAGTCTGGGACTCTACCCATTCCTTCCCACCCGGTCACGGCACCGGCCTGAAGAAGGCCGGCAAGATGAACGCAGGCTTCTTCATCCTCGCACCCTCGCTCGACGCATTCAACTACTACAAAGAACTCCTCAACACGCCCAACTCCTTCGACCCCCGATACCCCGAACAAAACCTCATGAACCACGCACATCGTTGGGACGGGCCGATGCCGTGGCGGGAGATAGCATACACTTGGAACATCCGTTGTCCAAACGACGTGGATATCGCCAAGGGGCTGGTCAGCGTCCACGAGAAGTGGTGGAAACAACCGTACATTTATGAGAATGCCAAGACGAAGCAATGGCTGTTGACGAGGCGGTGGGAAATGAAGGGCTGGTACGACGCTTTTGAGGGAGCAAACTTGACGCGTGTATGAGTACTTGCGATAGCATAGTAGCGAGGCGCTTTGGAGTTAGTTGTTTGGTGCGATAATACCCAATACCATATCATGTTCATTTCAAGATCACATCATACATATTCTGGCCCATGATGTACAGCTTATAGTGATGTTTAGTTTACGGCGTTACTGTGTCGAGGGGGCGAGTTAATGAGAAACAGAGGAATACATTATATCATGCGCTGTAAAGACATGCTGCAATGTCTATCCATACGTGTAGGTCGACCCTAGCAACTTACATCTTGTTGTAAATGCTATCCATACGGCCCTGAAGCGATCGCATAGCGTCGTTAATGATAGTCATCCGCCCCTCTGTAATTTCCGCGCCAGCCGGGATACGAGGCCTCAGCTCGGGCTTCCGCTCCATCTCCTCAGCTAATGCCACCATATCATCCTTGATCTTCTGCTTCTCGTCACGATCGATCTTGGCTTCTTCGATCTCCTTCTGGTACAACTCTAGTGCAAGTGTACCGATGTCACCAGATCGAAGCGCGTCGTGGTACTCGAACTGTTTCCTTCGGACGTTATTCTCTGCCTTGGCGGCGTTGATGGTGCTATCGTCCACGGCCTGGAAGATCTTATCTTCTACTTCCTTCAGAGGTTTCAGAACAGACTCGACGTCACGATTTCGTGTGCTGTAGGCGGCAATTTGTTCATTCGCAGTGCCTTGTGGCCGATCCGGATCCTCTTCGCCGCTAGCAGTGGACTCATGAAGCTGGGATGTGAACGCATATTCTTGATCCTCCAGCTCTTCCATTCCAGATGAAAGATCGTGTTCTGGAGTGACCTTGTCGATTTCTTCGAACAGCTCAAGCACCCGCTGTGTACTGAGGTCGGTCAGGCAGCCTTCACGCATGAGGTTGCTGGACCAATACAATGACGTTGGGTAAGAGAGGTTCGCAAACGATAAGGGATCTAAGTCCCCTTCGGCAAGCACAAGTGGATCCCACTTAGCTAGGTACTGGGGGTCTTTTTCAGTAAGCTTATTGCGGTCAAAGACCTCCCCTTCCTTTCGAAAACCGATGTAAGCATTTCGTTCTGCCTCATCAAGACCCTCTAGCCCCTGCAACTCTCGGGATGTCACAGGTATGAACACCCCATGCTTTCGGTGTTTCTTTACGAGGATAAAAAATCGATCTTTGGGTACCGCTTGGCCAAAGATGGTGGGTGTCATTCCTTTTTCTCCAATTTCGCGAGGAGATGTGGTTGCTTCGTGGACTATGGCTCGAAACAAGTCACCTAGATTGAGCCGGTCAATCTCCGCTTGTGAGAGGAGCCGAAAGTGCTTGGTGTTCGAAGCTTTAACAAGATAGACCGCCTCAATCCGCTCACCGGGGAATTCGTCAATGATTGGGCCATCGAAGCCAGGAGGTATCGCTCGCCACAACAGTCTGTCCATGTCGGCTTCGCTACGGGCACGTCTGGCATAAGGTGACCAGGTAACACGTCTGCCCCTACTAGGCCGAGCCCCTGCGTTTGTTCTTGCCATATCTGTCGTCAATATGCGGGTTTAGATGCTAAAGCCGTGAAAATCCGAAAACGGCTTCCTTGGTGGAATTGGGTTGTAGCCACAGGTCTAACCGCTGTGGATGCAGGGGGATTCTTCGTGGGTAACACCGCAAGTGTGTTGACATTTATAGTTTCGTGCAATGGTCCGTGAACATTGCGATGCACATATTTTGGCTCAGTGAAGCAGATCGTGCTCTGTGAACGTGCAACGTCGCTGCAATCATATTGCTACGCGCTGCATAGCGAACTAACACATGCCGTTCACTCAACACCATTCAGACTGAGTGAATAGGGAGGCGAACACATCGGAAATGTAATAGACCGAAAGGTACCTAGTCGCCTAACGTCGTCGAAAACCGTTCCAATGCTCGAGTCCTTTTGTTGATGTCGACCCGCGGCATCATGTGTTGAGACAGTATCTACTCGCGACTTACAGAAGCGAAGCCGCAAGACACTGGAGACCTAGGACTCATGTATAGAAGACAAGCTTTGACCACAATGTAAAACTGAACAAAGGAGTGCACTGTTCTCGCTTACATCTACGGTCTCAAATACCTAGTCTTCCCTTCGCCTCAAATGTAGCCCCTCCATCATGGCCAACATTAAAGATCACTTCGAAGAAGTCCCTCAGTATGAAGCGGATCAGACTGGAAAGACCAGAAAGCGAGCGCTCGAATGTGGCGAAGACAATAATGGCGATAATAGCGAAAGATGTGCAGCTAAACAGGGCAGCAAAGGGGTCACACAGAACATGCGAACAAAGAAAAGAAGAACGACCGGAGAACCGCCTCCAGATGTATATCAAAGCCGGAGAAAATTGTCTTCGTCGTTAGAAAAAGGTATAAAAGACGTCGGAAGTGTAAACATTCCAATAGCTAACAACGATACAGAAACGTATGATAATTTTACCCGATGTTCACCTCTGGAAGGCCCAGAAAGTGCGATCATGGAGAGCATGGCAGACATCGAGCAGCTGTGCGCCAACGAAGCTGCCGAGATGTTCATCTTGAAGAGGGCTAAGACTGAGCAGGTGGACAGTAGCTCGCCTGTAATGTTGATGAAGGTTCCATACAAGCTGGCCACGATGATTCAAAACCAGATCTCAACCGGCCTCGAATACCGGCGCGAAAAAGACATATCCATACCGAAACTGGACCAGGAATTGAGAATGAGCAAGCTGTCGCAAAAGTCCGTCGAGCATCGTTTGCAAGGATTGCCGAAGCTCAGTGGAGGCCGAACGCCGGCTCGGCATGAAAGTCCTACGGCTGAGCGCTTGCACCGAGAAGCGCATGAAATCAATCAGAAGATGGAAAAGATTGAACAGAAAAAGAAAACTCTATCGCGGGACATTGAACTTGCCCGTAAAGCATGGGAGGGTGTTGCAATGGTAGTAGAGAAGAATTTGCAGGATATCTTTGTCCGATGCGGGCTGTTAGAGGATGATAAGGCGGTGAGTGTTCCTCCCGTCGCGCAGAGGGTTGAAGGGATGAGGGTGGCGAGTAAACCTCTCATCGTGTCACGCTTCGATGAAAAGAAGGATTCTAAGCTTCTGCCTGGCGAGAATGAAGCCACGACGAAAGCAGCAAACGAGGGAGAGTTGAGCGTCGGTCAGGCCATTGCTATCGTGAGAGAGGCCAAAGCTCGGAGAGAGAAGCACGAGGCTCAAAGACAACACGACGAACATCGTAACACTTTCCGACGAGGACTTCTCGCGGCACGCGTGGCTGCTGCTGCCGACCGACCGGATGCACCCGACCGCATCATAGAAGAAGAGTTCAGCCGCGACTATGTGCGCGCCGGAAGCAAGCTTGCTGAAGCGGTGACACGCGCAGAAGCGGCCCATGAAGCTCAGTTGGTAGCTGCAGCAGAAGCAGCAGTCTCCATCATAGGCTCGGACGATGACAGGGAACCAAACTTCCCATACGATCTTGAGGAATATGCAGCAGTCAAGAAGCAATGTCTTGACCGAGACGCCGTCCAGGAATGGATCAATGCCATTGACGCAAGCTCAAAACCCAACCTGCGGCCTTTGGGGTACCTACTGCACATGGCAGAGAAGTGGAAACGGGCAGCAAAGGAAGATGACGACGTCTCGAGCTCAGGAGAGGAAGCAGATCCGGATGCCGGCGTCGAGCCCCGCAGAGAGATACCACCGACGCAAGACTCTGTGCTGAAGCTGGCATCGAAAAGTAAGTCCTGGCACACGGAGCCGTACTGGAGCTTCAGCGACTGCGCGGAGGGAAAGAAACGGCGGCGGATCGACGACTGGACACGCAGGATACGACAACCCGTTGGTTAAGTGTCGCTATACTGTTAATAACAAACAATGAAATGTGTGCAATGGCGATGCTGCTTAATGAGCGCGACGCGCAAAATTTGGATCACGTCATGGCATAACACACATCTAAGCCCAGAATAGTTAGCGGCTTGGCACGCCGCTTGGAAGGAAACGAGGACCAAACCTCGCGATCTCACAAGCGCATTTGCATCATGCCTTGCGCGTTGTCCGAGCACTTATTAATGTCGATACTATTTCCACAGTAACTACAGCCGTTGTGTGCTACGTTTCTCCGCAAACCAATCGTGTACTCCTTGGCCGAATCGCAATTGCGGGATGTCCGCGAGGTGAATAGCGACATGCAAAGGCATCCAAATGCATGAAACCGGGCGCTCTCAGCTTATGCATCCCCAAATATCTTCTCCAAACCCAGGCCGTTATATCCAAGGTCAAATCAGGCTTTCGTGGCACCAACGCTATCGTCAACCGGGTCTTGACCAGCTACCTGTGTGGTAGCTTCTAATGGGTCAGTGCTGGTGTCTCTCTTGCGGTACAGCTGCCTCGATACATGACCAGTAAGATACCCATCGAAATCGCGCATACATAGTGACGCGACGATCGCAAGCACTCCGATAGCGACAGCGAAGTAGTATACGTAAGCATACGATCTGGAGTAAGCATCGCTGATAGCTATGTTGGTGGTGCGGAGCAGCTCTGGTGTCATACCATCGATTTCGAGAAGAGCTGTCTGGTCGGCGGTTGCGGCAGCTGCCATTAGCGCACTCAAGGAGCTCTCCGGCAGCCCCTCCGCTAAGACGCGTGGCGGTACTATCGATGCAAGATAGCCCGGCACTTTGTTCGTATACACTGCGATGAATGCGGCGGTAAAGATGGAACCGAAGATAGTGCGGGATGCCGAAATCACAGCTATCGCCAGTCAGCAATGACACATTCACGAGGTTGTGAACGGTGGACTTACAGAACGCAACACCGAGGTCTTGGTCTGAGACTACATACTGTACGACAATCGCTGCGATGACCTCGCCCCACCCGATGGTCCAACCCGCCAGAAACGAAAAGGCAATCGCACGAGCTTTGTTTTCCACGGTGATGCTGGCCATTGCACCAAGGAAAGCCGTCATCCAGATCGAAGACACCAAGATCTGGTATCTGATGTGGCCAATCCACGACA